TTCAAGGGTGAAAAATACCGGTATGAGATAAGTGTTTAAATCAATTTGTTTTGATCATACACTTTTGAAATGAAGTTGATCTAATGACGTGACAAAATAATGAATCAGACTGGATGCCACTTTTTCTTGGAATCTTTTTTTTTACCTTCCTCAAGTCTTTTGTCGAATATGGATTATGCATGTCGTAAAGCGTTGAGCTGCTGTCAGATCTCAAACGGTTGACAGGATATTGAAGGAGGTTTAGGATGAGAGATTGGAGGTCAATCATCCGATTGATGGAGAGGATATGTTGAAGTTAAAGGATTGTCTTCAAGAGATGGTAAATGAGTTGGGCATGAAAGAATGTCTTCAACACGAAAGACTTCGGATAAATCCGAACCTACATTAACTAGGTTTTGAGACAGAGTAATGGAAATACAGCGAGAATCTGGTTTATCAACAATGTCCTGTGAAGATGGAATTGAGGAGATCGATGGCTTGGGGTTCGGGTGACATGGGTTGGAGATGCCTTTGGAATCTTGTAACTGTAACACCCCCATTAATGAACATTTCATGTACTATGTGTCTATTTGACCCATTCTGGGTGGAGTTATATAAAACTAATGATGTTTGTGTTATGAAAATTTCCTATATCTTAAAGTTTGCAAAATGGCAAAATCATGCAAAACATACCTTTTTTGACCTGGCACGCAAACTAAGGTTGCCGCCCGGGTCGTGTAATCACTATGAGCACAGGCTTAGGAGAGACGTGCGACTTGAGGTCGCAGGTGCGGACTGCAGCGGCTATTAGGGATTTTTAATCAACTCATACATAATACTTGCTCTATGTTGTAATACGTTTGGTAAATGATTGGTACGAGTATCAACTATCAAGCCATAATTCCTATATTTATGAAGTATGTGCACTATTTATGAGCTAAATGTCCAAGCTTGGTATTTTATTGCTATAGCCCTTGTGCATGGGTGCTAGAGGCTCGTGTTGGCAAGTATGTCATAGTCATATCTATCTTGCATTCTAGTAAGTAGACGCTAAGGCCGAATAGGATCCTTGAGGTGGCACTTGTCTAGAAAAAGCGTGGACACTAAGAGTCTCTAATTATTGAGGTTGAACTTGTTGGAATGCACTGAAGTCAATGAATCTGATATGTAACCCGATAACATCTACTTATAGCAATACTTTTTTATTCCCGCCACTAATGATGGAAACAGGTCTCCCCCTCGTCGAACGATGTTGAATGTATATACTTTGCATGTTGGGACATATCAGACTAGATGTGTCACTGTGTACAACTTTTACCATTGCGGATAATATCTATTATTTATATCTTTCACTAGTACCATCTTATAACGTGATTTCTAACTGTTTTATCTCAGTAGGTGTAAGCCTAACAATTTTCTTATCAAAATGTTTGTCAGGTCCCGCTAGTGGTAGTCCTAGAGCTATTTGAGATAATGTTGACGTTGTTTAGAAGGAACAGGGGTAAGCAACATATTTATAAGTAACATATTTATTCATAGAAATAACAAAGTTTTCATAAGTAAACCACAAGGGTGGTGCCTGATTGGATTGAGTTTGGACTCCAAAAGTCAAGTGGCTGGAGGTCCAGGTTCAAATCCAAGGAGGAATAAAAATCCTCTTGTAGCCACGGAGGTTCAAATGCGGTGACTCAGAGCTACCCAGAAAGCAGGTGGTCGCTCTAGGATTAGTCGGCTCGTATAGCGGGTTGGATATCCAAATTAATCAAAAAAAAAAAAGTTTCCGTACGTTGTATTTCTATCGATTTTTAAGGGTGTTACAGTGGCAAATCAAAATGCTATATTGTCGGGTATTGCCAAGGGATTTTCCTTGTATCCGTAATGGTTAGCTCCCTGGGTTTGGGCTTTTCCAGACCACCCTTCTATCTTGTACACGATTTAGGTTTTAGACTTGTGCCGGGCCACAGGAAGTTTAATAGGGGCTATTCACGCTCAAGCTCGGTTCCTAAATGGTTCGGGTAATCAGACAATTCGTCCCAAACATCAAAAAATAAGGGGGAAAGAAAGATGTGAGAACAAGAAGGTAAAGAAAAATAAAATGGTAAAAAGACTAATTTACCCAACTCAGGATGACAACAGATTTTTTAAAGCTCCGTTAACAAAAGAGACTAAAACCAAGCACTATTACATACCTATAAGAGCTTATCATGTAAATTATTACATAGAGTGTTTTTTTTTTTTTTTTTTGTGGACTAAAATCTTACCCAATAAGTAAGTAATAGTGTTGAATTTTACCCGTAAGTACTTATCGGATAAGTTTTTGATAAACGGGCCTTTTTTACTGTAAAAATAATATTATTTTAATATCGCGTGGTACAAGATTTTTCCTTTTAATAGACTATAGAGACATGAAACGGATCTGAAACATCGTCTCCTTTCTCTCCGATCCATTTCTCCATCAATTTCCTTTTTCTTTTTTTCGTTTTTTTCACTTTTTTTTATTTTCTGTATGCAATTTTAATCTCCATATCTGTTTGGTAGTTCAAATCTGAAATTTTTTATAGTTCTACGTTGAATTTAGATCTGGTTTTTACCGTTTTCAATGTCAAATTAGCTCTGAGTGGATACCATTTGCTTCAAAAACATCTGAATTCAAACGGCTTTTGATTGATGTCAGTAATCTGAAGAGAGTCAGATCTGCAGTTCGTTGATTTCTTTTTGCTATGAGTTCTTGTTTAGATCTGCATATGCGCATCTGCATCAACTCAGATCTGACTTTCTGTATGGATACAGATTTCACTTATATCTGGTTTTATATATCGATTGTCTTTGTCGTGAATGTATGCGACGTGTTCTTGAGTTTCAGAATGACAGATACGGATGCGTTCCCTTTTTTCCATAGAAAGGGATTTTGTTTTCAAGGAGCAAAGTTAACAGCTTGGGTTCTCTTGAAATGCGTTACATCCGGTATCGAATCGAATATAGAATCTAAAGGTAATTTGCTTTCTTGGGTATATTTTAATTATATGTTTACATGATAATTGATTGAAGAAACTTGGGGATCATAATTATTTTCTAATTTGTCATGATGATTGTTAACGGATCGTTAATTTTTTACCCAATGGCGGAAAGGGTTAATTAAACGACTCGATATCATCTGTAATTGATAAGGGTTAAATAGGATGTCTATCCATTGTTTTGATTTGCAGCTAATATTGTCGAATGTATAGGGCATGAACCAGATGATTATGAAGAAATAAGAGCTTTTGAAGTACTGACATGAGTCGAAATGCATCAAAGAAATTATTGATGAAATTGTGACTCATGTCGGATGATTATGAAGAAAGAGCTTTGGAAGTATTAGCACGAGTCGAAATGCATTAACGAAGAAACTATTGATGAAACTGTGACTCATGCCAAATGACTATGAAGAAGGCGATTCGAAAGTATTAACATGAATCACAATGAACTACAGAGTTTATTGAAGAAATTGTTACTGTTGTCAAAAAATATGAAGAAAGAACTTTGAAAGTATTAGCATGAATCAAAATGCACTACAGAGTTTATTGAAGAAATCGTTACTGGTGTCGAAGAATATGAAGAAAGAGCTTTGAAAGT